AATGAGGCATGGGCCTCGGGGCCCCAAAAAAAATAAAACTATGGGCCCAAAATTGAAATACATTTATATTATATACTATATATATGTATTTAAATTACAAGAGCTACACTGGTTGTTTAGCTTAAATCGTTTGTTACATAGATAACAAAACATGCGGAACAATAGAGTTATCAACCAAGTAGTGAAGTATGAAGACGAACTCCCAAATTTGCCCATTTGTTATTTCCAAAAATCTAGCTTTTAGAATGATTTGCTTATTTGATGAATTATTGATTTGTGAATGATCGAATGAACAAACTTATTGATTTCTATTTTCTATTTGCTATAACTTTTGACTAAATCTTATATTAATGGTTGGGATTTGAAGTATCTGCATAAGCAAATGCTATTCAGGGGGTGTTTGGATTTGATTCTAAAAACTGCTCCTACTCCTTCAGGGAGCAGAAGTAGAAATTTGAGTGTTTGGGTGAAAGTACAAAAGTACTTCTGGTGCTCTAATTTACTCCTGGAATCAGTTTGTTTAGAAGTCGGGGGAGACCAGCTTCTGAAAACTGATTTTAATTTTGCTTTAAAAAAGAAGCAGAAACAGAATCAGTTCCAAACACCTCCTTAAAAATTAAAAGAAAGTTGATTCTTGTTTTATAAAGTAGTCCAGCAGGGTCATGCCTTGGAAGTGAAATTTTTATATTTGAGAATTGAGATTTTTTTTAAGACTATCACGATAAAAAATTGTGTAATTTTCAATAAAAAATTAATCAAAATTTTGAATGGATCCAAAAACTCACTATTTTTTATTTTTTATTTTTTTGGCTCCATTGTCATTTGCAATGGAGCCAAAGACTTACTATTTTTTGGCTTGCAAAAATGATGGAATAAAGCAAGATGTCTCACTAAATTGTCTGCGCTTCTTTGTTATGAAGCAGCAGTCAGTCCATGTTATTTTCGATGCATTTTTCACTATGGGTCATTCAGAAACAGTCTCTCTGTGCTTTAGTCAGGGGTAAGGCTGCGTACATCTGATTCCCCCCTACCCCGCCGTTAGTGGGAGCCTTTGCGGCACTGAGGTCATGATGAGGATGATGTTATAATGTAAGAATTTTATTTAAGTATTGAGGTTTTGTGATATTAATTCTCCATTTCTAAATATGTTGTATTACAAAACAAATATTATGTACAGGGCCCTTTTATGAAGCTCGACTCAGGCCCTAGTTTTTGTAGGATTGGCACTGTTATTAAGCAATCGAGAACAATTACAGCACATCTTGTTGAAGGCCGGGGCCGATTGCCTATTCCGAGCTTCAAATGCAGGGAATAGGAGCTATTGCTAGAGAATACTTAAGATGTAGAGACCGTAATTTTTTGGGTCTTTTATATATATTTAGGGCCCACAAGTTTTTACATTAGGGTTACAGTTACATTCTCTTTAAATACCCGCCCTGTCAATGTAATCTGCATCAGAAAATAATATTAACATCCTGGCTTGGTAGCGCCCCCAGACGTAGTCTTTCTTGACGAACTAGGTAACCAAACTCTCGTGTTTTCTTATTGTTTTTCGTATTGTGCGTGTGTTAAATCCCAACAAATACAAGTTTTCAACCCCTCATTGTGAAATAAATGCTGCTATATGAGGTAGGTGGTAGTGATGATGTGGAGGACCAAGAGTTGCTAGCTCATCAACCACCAAATCCTGTATATCTGGTGCATTTAATGTGTTTCACGCCAATATCATGTTTTCCCGCCAAATGCCCTGGACACTCGTATTCGAAGGCTTCTTGGTTCTGGATCCATGCAAGCACAAGGCCAAGACGCCACTTGGTCCATGTTGGCCGGGCATCTCCACCCATGCTCATTGATTGATTGTCTGGCTCACAAAGGGCCAAGGTGGGGGCGACGGGCACCGCGTCCTCTAGACGAGAATTGGGTATCCCCTTTTCCTTATGGGTATCGGGTCGTTCAAACAACAACAACATTCAAGCCTAGTCCCAAAAGATATTGGGGTCGGCTAACATGAATCGATACATGATATCATCACCAAAAGGAAAAGAAAGAAAATAAAGATAAAGAAATAAGCTATCATGAAAAAGATAATATAAAAAGAAATGAATATGCCTAAAACTGATAAAATAAAAAGGATAAAAATAATGTTTATATATATAAGGATAAAAGGATAAAAAAACAAGAAAAAATGAGGGGAAAAGAAAATACGAGATCACTCCTCCACACGAATACTCGCCCTCCATTTTGCTCTGTCCAAAGCCATACCCGCCATACCTAGTACGGACAGTTGTAGTACAATCCTCATGCCTCTTGATTGATTGTCTCGCTCACAAAGGGCCAAGGTGGGGGTGACGGGCATCGCGTCCTCTAGACAAGAATTGGGCATCCCCTTTTCCTTGTGGGTATCGGGCTGTTCCAACAACAACAACAACAACATCCAAGTCTTAGTCCCAAAAGATATTGGGGTCGGCTAACATGAATCGATACATGATATCACCACCAAAAGGAAAAGAAAGAAAATAAAGATAAAAAGATAAGCTATTATGAAAAAGATAATATAAAAAGAAATGAATATGCCTAATACAGATAAAATAAAAAGGATAAAAATAATGTTTATATATATATATATATATATATATATATATATATATAAGGGTAAAAGGATAAAAAAACAAGAAAAAATGAGAGGAAAAGAAAACACGAGATCACTCCTCCACACGAATGCCCGCCCTCCACTTTGCTCTCTCCAAAGTCATACCTAGTACGAACACTTGTAGTACAATGCTCATACATATCCATAATGAGGGCCAATTACCGCAATGAAAATTAGCATTAATCAGGGGCGGATCATAGTGAGGGTAGGGGTGGGCTCCAGCCCAGCCCAATTTTTTCTGTTTTAATTAGGTCATAGGTATAGATTTAATGTCCAACTCATCCCAGAATAAATCTGGGCCCACCGCAAAATGAATAATATAATAAGAAATGAATATGCCTAACACTGATAAAATAAAAAGGATAAAAATAATGTTTGTATATATAAGGATAAAAGGATAAAAAACAAGAAAAAATGAGGGAAAAAGAAAATACGAGATCACTCCTCCACACGAATACCTGTCCTCCAATTTTTCGATAGTACAATGCTCATACATATTCATAATCAGGGACGGATCATAGTGAGGGCAGGGGTGGGCTCCAGCACAGCCCAAATTTTTCGATTTTAATTAGGTTATAGGTATAGATTTAATGTCCAGCCCATCCTAGAATAAATCTGGGTCCACTGCAAAACTAATCCCAGCTCACTTTAAGAACTGGCGCACGTGGGAATCGATCTTGAGTCGGCTGAATGATGTTTGGCTTCCCAACCACTCAACAACCTTCACATGTTGATCCTAGAGTAGCTTTTCACAAATATATTACGTACTATTTTAAGTCCAATATACTATCCTATTTATTATTCATCAACTAATTAGTTAACGAAACAATTAATAATAACAAAATAATGCACACACTCAACTGATATTATACTTCTGATTCATGTATATTATATTTCAATTATATGTGAAAATGTATTTCTATTGTATCATTAAGATTTTGTACTTGATTTCATGTCTATATTTATTGTCCATCTATATCAAAATCTATTTTAAATTTTGTTATAACCAACTTTACAATAATGCTTTTTAATTGGATTATATTGTACCATCATTATCAAATTATGAAAGAATAACAATTTCTATCTATAAATTTAATATGAGATTTAAAAAAAAACTATTATTAAAATAAAATTTATTTACATAGATATGAAAAATCGTTAATTCAATCTAGTGTAATGGTAATTTAAATTTTAAACGTGAACATAGTTTATTTTTATTCTACTACTGTCTAGTCACTAATCACATTTTTATAAACAACCTTATTTTGGTCATAAATATGTAATTATTTCATTTAATATTATATATGTATATGTGTGTGTATATAAATATTGAATATTATATAGATATGTGTTGACCGGATTTCCGGTTGTTGACCGGGTCGACCTGCCGGGTCTGAGTTGACCCATGACCCGGTCATCCCTCCGGGTCGCTCTCCGGTCTGGTTTTTAGAACATAGGATTAAACATTGTACCGAGTATTAATTCTTAAGCATTGTATTATTTTATATAACATTATTAATCTATTTGAATATTTGATTAACATAGAGGGGCTGGAGCAATTGTATCGTTGTGTTTTAGTTTTGTTATTTTTAGTTTTGTTAGTCTATTTGATTATTAATTGAATTTTTCAGTATATAATAAAATAGTGTTTATTCATTGTAAATTTATAATGATCAAAGATAGAATTAAAGATTAGGGAATGATTTGTTTATTACACAATTGAAGATTAGAAAGTGATTTATTTCATGTGTGGACATGTAAGAAAGAATTAAAAAGTTTAATTGAATTTTGAAATACTAAAATCTTTAATTAATAAATTTACAAAATCTTACTAAAACGTTTAGTAATATTTATAAATTTATATATTAAATTTTAATAATATACGTATAATTTATCTGATAGAGCCCGGATCTAACCGAACATCACTAAACTCAAACTCGGCTTGAATAACTCTTCGAACTCAAAATCTAGCATGCCATTAATTATTATTAGCATTACCATTATAATTTTATGAATGGAGTTGTTTTTAAAGTAGACTTTGGTTTGGGCTCTAATGGGTTCATAGCCGAGTATAAAAACTTGTTAGGTCGTGAGTACGTGGTGCCAGTAATTATGCCAGCGTGCTGATGCAATTGATCGTGGCGCTCTGCCTGTTCTATAAAGAGGGAAGAGCGTTCTACACTATGAACGGTTGTTATTAATGTTAGAGCATTGTCATGTATCTTCGATTCAAGTAATCGTAAATTCTAAAGTTTAGAAGCAATCAAGTACATTGTACGTCTTATAATGTAGTAGTATGAGGGATACAAGTATTTTACCTTTGAGAGCAATACCTATTAAAAATAACAAATTTGAAGAGCACTTGACAATATCTATTAAATATAACAATTCAGGTAGTCTGTCCAAAAAAAATAACAATTCAGGTAGAGTGAAATGAAGTATTGCTATGTGAAAGATGAAAAATGAATCAAACTAAAGAGTAACAAATGAACTTTTGAAATAACAAGATGATCTAATAATTATAGCCTAAACTCTTGACATAAAGTACTTGCACACAGAAAAAATAATGAACAAAGATGCAGACACCTCCAAAATTACACCAGGAATTGAAGGAAAGTGAGAGCTAACAATATTACTATGATACAGTTGCCATCGGGATAATGAATTCTTGTAGCTTCAGCAAAGGGAACTGTGGGATCTGAGGATCCTGGTGGCGGGCAAATACTTGCGCTTGAATTTAATCTGTACCTCAAAAATATAAAGGTGAGAGCTCAGATTGAAATTGATACATTATACCACTACACTAGTTTTTTTGCTTCATAAAGTAATAATTAAGCGCATTTAGATAGACTCACATTTTAGTAAAGTTGCATTGCCCATACCCTGAGACCAAAAGAAAAGATGAGGGTGGATGGAGATAAAATAGTGGGTAAAGTATAAATTAAATTTTAGGGTTAGGAAAAAGGAGATGTGAATGATAAAAGGGAAAGTGGAATTGAAGTACTAGCTACTGACTAGGAGGAGTGAAGGTGATGGCTGCGGTGCCGCTGAAGTCACAGGAGCCGCCGCAAAAACGCATGATCTGGTAGTACTCGTTGTACACATAAGACGCCCGGCTTCGCAGAGTGTGGCCGTAGCACCGCCCATCCGGCCTGATTGCGGAGCAGTTGGTGTTCCCCTCCCCACACGCCCAATTGATCCCCTTCACCAGATCCGTATTCGCCACTCCCAGCTTTGCCACACAATAACCCGCCGCGGAGTTCACACCGGAGCCGCCGCCTTCGCTCCCCGCGCCGCTCAGGTTCAGAGGATACACCGCCTTCCCGTCCGAGAAAAAGATTCCCCAGCTCCTCGCCGAGGCTGGCCCCGGCATACCGTCCTCGTTGTACAGCTCGTAGATGTAGGCGTTCAGGGGAAGCTCCCTGCGGCTGGGCGTCCCCGACCCGTTCGAAACGCGGAGGATCAGGTTGTGGTTGTACGTCTCCGCGTTGCTCACGGTGGCATACGGCTCCTCCACGCCGCCGTTCCACGGCCAGCCGGTCTCCGCGACCACCACCGAGATGTTGCGGAAGCCGAGAGCGGACATGGCGTAGTAAGTGGCGTCGACCAGGGAGTCGAGCATGGTCTCGTAGAGGAGGCCGGTGTTGGGATCGGAGATGCGCTGCGCCTCCGAGACGGGCTGCAGGAGGGCGTACTCGATGGGGAAGACTCCGCGGGAGTCCACATAGCTGTGGTAGGTGTAGGCGTTGAGCATGAAGAACGACCCCGTGCTCTCCAGGAACTCCAGAACCTCGCGGACGACGGCCGAGCCGCGGGAGGAATTGAACGACGCGGCGGACGGCGGGAACTGCGCGCTCATGATGTCGGTGGATTGAGGCGTGGAGATCTTGACGGCGTCGCTTAGGTTGGCGGAGACCAGGGCTTTGTGGAGGTGGCGCATTGCGGGGACCAGGCGGCCGGCCGCGCTTGGGAGAGTGGTGAGGAGCGCGTTCCCCACGGCGATGGCGGTGATGTTGGTGGAAGCGGCGATGGGAGCGGCCACCATGTCGTTGACCCAGCGGGCAGCTTTGGAGGGGGTTCTCGCGAACATTTCCACCTCACCGTTGGTCACGCCCACCACCACTTTGATCCCCGTGTGGGACAGAGCCCTGAGCAGGGCTGCGTCGGCGTAGAATAGGCGCACGTGATTTATTTGTTGAGCTTTCAGCAGCGCCACCACGTCCGTCGCTGAAGGCCTCTTCACCATATCCATCCCTATGTTCACCCCCACGAACGCCGCCGCTGCACCTGCACCATCCAAACCAATTCCCATCATTAGTAAATTGCATGTACGAACTAATGATCCTAATATATGTATGTATGCATGTATGCATATTCCTCAAACCCATCTTTCAATCTCAATCCCATCAATGATTTCACTATGACCTTAACTGCCAATATCAAACATGGATCCAGCTCCTCTGCCTTTAGCAAGCAAGGAGGGTGTCGGGTCATTGTGAGCCTTTAGATCAGAAAATCCATGCATAGGTTGAGTGGGTCAATTTCTGCACCAATCTCAAGGTCCTAAATTTTAATTTTGGCCCTTCAACTGAGCAAGGCACTCTGCCTTATAATCCCAATTCATCAAACATACCTACGCCTTCTAACAAATGTCCAATACCTCATTACAAGTATATATATATATATATACTGAGTATATATGTTCTGGTTAAAAAAACCTCTCTTCAAATTAAAAATAATTTTGTCGATAATGCATTAAAATTGATCAAAAACGTGATGACATTTCCAAAATTAAATACTAGCTGCGTAGTGTAGAAAAGTGCAACATTCAAAGACAAGCATACCATATTCGAGTGAAAGTGCATGCACTTGTTCCTACTTTTCGCGGAAACACTATTTTTTATGTGAACAACACTATTTATATACTCCGTATAATGTTCAAACCAAAGTATAAATTCGTATGAGAAGGTCCCACATGTTTAAAGAAAACCATTTAGATATTCTAAACTTAGAAACAATACATCATATAGGGCAGCTGATCAGCTAGCAAATTTCTTCTTTTTTTCCCCAGTCAGTCATATAAGTAACCAAACCACTCGATCAATTAATTTAATGTGACAACTCCGGTACCCTTCTAAAAAATAGGGTACCGTACCTACTATTCATTTGATTGGACCACACCACTTTATCATTTTTAATTTAGATTTAAATAATTCAACTGCTATATTCTCGTTGGTCCATGTGGACAAAGGTATGGTACCTTATGGGTACCATAGAATCTACCTTAATTTAAACCGGCCCAGTTTATACAAACGATTCTCATTGCAGGTGCTGGAGGGAGGGGTTAGTTGAATTATTACGTACGTACCTACTATTGCACCAGGCATCAAACCACATATGATCAACACAAAAGCTCCCAACCGCACTTTAAACATCATCATACTTTCACTCGATCAGTCCACCCGGAAATCAAATTCACATCAACATGACCTACCGGAACAACACTGACTTTTATACTACAAAACAAAATCTGTAACAGGCCAAATTTATTTGTTAGGAGTGGTACGTAGTTGTAAAAAACAATCCAAATAAACAACATGTTAGTTAAGATCGAGTTGAGTATAATCAGTTACCTCAACCCCAAAACCAAATCACCCAAGCAAGTAAGTGCTGGCTAGCTAGCTACTGATGAAATGGAATGGCCGGGTAGTTTTGTGACAGACTTTAATTAAGAATTGCTTCGTTTTATATACAAACTGAAATCCCCGCTTATCACATTCCTTTAAAGCTAAATTGTTGTTCATTTTATTCAACAAAAAGTGCAATATTTGTGTATGTGTAGACAGTAGACCTAAGATATATAATAATTAAGAGCACTGACCAAGGAGAGGAAAATATGGTAAAAAGAGACTTCCAATGTTGAAAGCCTTTTCATGTGGTGAACTTTACAAGGAAAAATTTTCTTGTGTTGATTTTGTGTTTGATAGAAGCTAGGAATCTAAAAAAGAACGACTGGGAATTAATGGAAGACAGTAAAACCCCAGTACCCACAAGGTAAAAAGCTAAGGACTCATATTTTTAGTTCTTACAACGTAAACTCCGCAACTTTATTTCCAGTACAGTGTGAAATGAAGAATTAGCAACGCCGGCCGGCCTTTCATATTCTCTCCACATTCACTTTCTCATATGCCTCTTATAATATACTACTTTCCTCTTTAAATAAACTCTCCATTTGACGCTTCACAAATTACTAAACGGTGCTTATTAAAATTTGTGTTAGTAAGCGGCGTGTAAAATAAGCAGTGTTATAAATTCATGTTTATTTCACAGGACTCAAAACACCATTTAACATTAAAATGTCCAAAATAATTATATACATATATCGACACACAAGCATTCATGTACACAGGTATATATACGATAGTAGATACTAGTATATGATATGTGGGGCATACCACCCCGGTATAGCATGTGCGGTCATGGAAAAGATCCACGAGGGCATCTGTTCGAGCCACCCGGGGTCGAGGAAGCTTGCACAGAAGATCATCCTCTAGGCAGCGGCGGACGCAAGAATTTCCGCTAGGAGGGGCGACAGTGTAAAAATATACATACAAATACATATATTTTAAAATTTCGGGGTAAATATACTTAGGAAAATAAAATTTTGGGGGGACAACTGCCCCCATGCTCGGTCCGCCACTGCCTCTAGGGGTACTATTCGCCGACCGTTCAGCATGATTGTTTCCATGATATATGAGAGGGCGTCGTATGCCAGCAATACGCTCCCGTCCCGGGTTGGTCAACCAGCTTCTACACACCCATTACTATCTTCCGACTATTCGCCAAATGGGGAATTGACCTACTTGGACTCCTACCAATGGCGTCTGATGAAAGGAAGTACATTATCGTCGAGATAGACTACTTCATCAAATGCAGCGAGGTCGATCCCCTAGCTAGCATCACGGAATTTTAGTGCCAACATTTTGTCTAGCAGAAAATCATATGCTGCTTTGGAATTCCCAAACAGTCGGGGAAACACCGTTCGCCCTATCTTACGATTTTCAGGCCAAGGTTTCGACCATGGTTTTAGTACCTAAGCACCGGGTGGAGCATTTCGACCTAGAAAGAACGAAGAATCTCAATGTGCCAAGCTCCATTTCGTAGAGAAACGAAAGGATTTGGCCACCTCGCAAGTGGAAGAATATCATCGAGCGACGCAACGATATTTTGACAAAGTACTCAAGGTCCTGCACATTGAAATCGGTGACTCGGTGTTGACAAAGAGAGAAAAGAGCAACCCGCTTGAAGGCGAAAAGCTAGCGAAAAACTGGAAGGCCCGTACAAGTCTGGCAAAAATTCACGGTCAGAACCTTCGCCTTACAAACAACGACTAGATGTCGGACATGAGTATGGAATGTGAAGCACCTCAAGAAATTCTACCCATGAAATCTCGTCCCAAGGATACCTTACCAAAAAATGAAAAATAAACATAGACATACCTCCTTGCAAATGTCTAATCGATCGAACGGCCCATGGTCGGATACCTCAGTGGTATCATTCCATTGAACCTGGCATGGGCAAATAGAAAGAGCTAGTAGGGCCGTTCGAACGCGATGTGATGGTGAATGTGTAAGTCCATGTGGTGTCCCGTCCAGGGTAGGGACGTCTGGTGGCCTCGTTTCATTTACTTGGCATTGACAAGTAGGACGATCCCTTAAGGTCGCTCCAATCCAATGCCCGAGCGAACGGCCCACCCAAGCATTGACAAGTGGCCTCATTTCATTTCGCTCCATTCCAACTGAGCGAACGGCTCATGCCCGAATACCTCAAAGGCCTCATTCTAATACACTTGGCATGTGCAAGTAGGACGAGAGCCTCTAGGGCCATTCAAACGCGATGATCAGGATATCCAGGAATGTGACTGATAAGTCCGAATTTAGACACACATTTGATGCGTGTTGGGATCGGCTTTTGATGGTTTTCCTAGCTTTAAGGTGTTACAAGTTTCAATTTTAGCTCAAGTTATGTTTACGAGGCGTTGGTTCGAGTTTTGTGTTTTTTGGAGTCAAAATTAGGAATTTAGAGTCCGGCACCGGGGCTTGAGAAGCAATCGGGAAGAGTTGGAGAGCGTTCAAGAAAGATTTGAGAGTTTTGGAGGTCACCGGGAGATTCACGACGAAGATTTGATGAAGAAACGACCTTCAGATCAATCAAAGAAGCATCCGGGAGCGAATGGGGAAGAAAATAGCAAGAAAACGGTTCTGGAGAATTCCGCGCGCCCCGCGGGTCGGTTCCGCACGCCCCGCTGGTGATTCTGAGAGCAAGAATTCTAGAAGTCTGAACCGCACTATGTGCGGCCGAAACCGCACACCGCGCGGTCCAGAAGTAGAGTACCCGCACTATTGTATAGTGCGGGGTCCGCACATAGTGCGGGCGGAGTAAAGTTCCGAAGTGCGCATTTTTTACGCGTGGCCGCACTGTACGCCGCATGGCGTGCGGGCGACCGTGCGGTCGTGCTGTTTTGCTGATTTTCGACTTTTCCCTATAAATTGGCCCCCGGTTGATGACGGGGGCTAATCATGATGTATGACTAGATTCTTGATGGCTTAATTTCATGAATGCTGTTTAATTTGTGTTTGAATAATTTAACTAATATCTCTTGTAACCTAGACTGCAGCTAGAATTACAATTGCATGTACAATAAATTAAGAGAGATTTAATTTGTTTTAGGACACATTCACACACACTTAATCGTTCACTAAGAGATTAGTAGCGATTAAAGGGCCGTAAGCTCGCTCGTCTAGGCAATAATTTAAGATCATGTTGCATGAGAGATCAGTCTGGTCCCCTAAATTATTGTACTCTACGTCGCGAGAGCGGTAAGAACTTAGTAATGATTAGCTAGGCTCAATTAAATTAACATCATGTAATTAAGCCTGATCTGCGATATATCTAATTACCCCGGAATCAATCCCTATTCCCTTCGTCATTAATTAGAGAGAACCCATTTATTTAATCGTTCATTCGCATTAGTTTAATTTTCATACTAATCATATCTCGCACGACGCATTTATTTTATTTATTTTTAATCGCTGAATTTAATTAATTCTTGATTCCCTTTTGTCCGTCCCTGTGGAGACGATACTCGTACTTACACCACTATATTACGATCTATTTTAAATGCGAGAAAACTAACATCAGAGACAATGCAAAGTACAACCGAACGAGCGGCCCACGGATGGATATCTCGGTGGCCCCATTCTGATACCATCAATTGAATATACCTGACCAACCATTTGACCCAATTGCATCATGTTTCGTGTTTGTATGTCAAATCTTCTACTATCTTTTAATTCTAGTCTTGTTTGAGAAGATATAGATTATGCCATAATTATACAAAAGCTACGTAAATACAATGTAAATCCATTCTAAAATGTGACGTTCGTGCACTACTAAATAGCACATATCATAGATTAATATAACATTAGTTTTCATAATTTGATTTATTTCTTGTAAAATCATAATGAAGAACAAAATTAAGTAATTTTTAAATAGTACTACCTTCATCTCGCATAGGTTCTCACTGACAAATGACATGATTATTTTGATATTATTAAATAAGTTAATTCAATTATACATTGAGAAGTAGTTTTTGAGGGGTATATAATATATTGAGGTCACTCACAATAAGTGATGTTATAGGTGTACCATTTTTAATATTTGTTTTCTTCTCTCCTGGATTGTCTGATTCAAAGAGGTGTGGCTTATTTGTGTTATGTGGGTGTTTTGGAAAAGTATCATCGCAATTTGGTGATTGAAGGGGCAGTCAAAAATGTTGATTTCGACGCAGTAGAAGGGGCAAGGAGGTATCCACGTCATGTTCGACTCAAGATAGCTTCATTCACAGGAAGGCAAAACATGGGTTTACGCTTTCTGCAATTCGTCGGTGGCGGTGTGCGGCTCGTGTATTGCTAGATCTCATATGAATTCTCCTACAGGAGCGGCGCTAGGGAGCGGGAGGAGGAGGATCAAAATGGCTGAAGGCATGACCCTAGATGAGCCAAAAAACGAAGAGGAGGCGGGAGCTAGCTACCAGGCCCGCCTGAGTCTCTGAGAAGGATGTACCCCCCGAGGGAACATGTAACATCCCACCCCATAGGGCCCGAGGTAGTTATAGATGGTATAAGAGCAACCCTGCGACAGTGCATTGATCCGTTGGATATCGGGCAGACACTTAGCAAGTGAGAATTATGTGATTTGATTGAGATTGGTTTATGAGCGCAACAAGGACGTGACTTTCCTAAGTGGGGGTGATTGTAATACTTGAGATTAATTTAAATTGATTAATAGTACTGCTCATACCAACAAGGTGCATCTCTTTTTAAGGGAGCACATCAACTAAGAACTCCAAGTTAAGTGTACTTGCACGAGAGTAGTCTTGGGATGGGTGACCCCCTGGGAAGTTTCTCAGAGCGCGCGCGAGTGAGGACAAAATGCGCGTTTAAGGCTTGTGGTGGTTTGTGTGGACGGTACTTGAGGTCTTGATGGCATTCATGAGTAACTACCTCGGGCCCTACGGGGCGGGGTGTTACAGTACATGGTCAGGTTTCTCGTGATTATGAGAAGGCAACTTTATTTATATTATTTTGGTTTTCTTTTCATCTTTTATTTCGAATTGGATGTCGTTTTGGTTATGTTTTTGTTTCCTACTATCAGAATTCTAGAATTTAGGTTGGGGGATGAAATTTCTAGTTCGTTCGTTGATAAGTCCGTATTTAGACACGCATTTGATGCATGTTGGGATTGGATTTTGATGGTTTTGCTAGTTTTAAGGTGTTGCAAGTCTCAATTTTAGCTCAAGTTATGTTTACCGGGCATTGGTTCGAGTTTTGTGTCATTTGGAGTCAAAATGAGGAATTTAGAGTTCAACATCGGCACTTGAGAAGAAATCGGGATGCGTTGAGAAGCATTCGAGAGTGATTTGAGAGCTTTGCAGGTCACCGGGAAGTTCACGATGAAGATTTGATGACTAAAGAGCTCTAGGATTGGCTTCGGGATCAAAAGAAGATGAATGAAGCTTGAAAACGACGATCAGGATGATCTTATGTCAATCGTTCAAGCATCTCTCTTTGTAAAAACAACCAATGGACACGATTCAAGTTCCATATGAAAGCTAACTTCAAGGGCTACAAATGATATGAAGACACCTTTGCGAGAATCTGAGAGGAAGAAGGTGAAAACAGACGAGTCAGATGATCTCTGCTGCGATTTTAGAAAGACACCTTCCACCGTTTTGATCATATCTCTTGATTGGATGATTAAAATCACATTCAGCAACTTGGGGTGGATATAGGACTTCATTATATACAACTTTCATGAAGGAAGTATTGCCAAATTCGGAAGTTAAGTAGGCAAGATCGTGCCCTCAAAGTCAGGCATGATCGTGCGTGAAGAGAAAGCACCGCGGAGTTACTGCCAGCCATGCACGATCGTGCCTGGAGGGAGGCACGATCGTGCCTGCCCAAAATACGCGTTTTTGCTCCGGAGGCACGATCGTGCCTGGCATCGTGCCTGCCTCCGAAAATCCCAATTCAGCTCAAATTTCACCCGATTTTTCTATTTAAACAGCCTGTAAACCCCAGTTTTCAAGGGGGCTTAAAAGAGTGCCTAGCACGAAATTTAGAGGGTTTTTCAGCCTTGTTCATCAATATTTTGGTATTCTTTGTAAGTTCCATCTTTTTAATTAATGACAATTACTTCTATTCTTCTCAATTCTATTGATTCTTCAATTATGAATTGTGAGTAGTTTAATTAGGGATTGGGATTGATGAAGGGGTTGATCATGATGTATGGCTAGTTTCTTGATGGATTAATTTCATGATTTCCGTTTGAATAATTTAACTGATATCTCTTGTAATTTAACTGATATCTCTTGTGTTTGAATAATTTAACTGATATCTCTTGTAACCTAGAACGCGCGCTAGAATTACAATTGCTTGTAGAATAAATTAAGAGAGATCTAGTTTATTCTAGGACATCTTCACACACACTTAATCGTTCGCTAAGAGATTAGTAGCGATTAAGGGGCCGTAAGCTCACTCGTCTTGGCAATAATTTAGGATCTTGTCGCATGAGAGATCAGCCTGGTCCCCTAAATTATTGTACTGTCACGCCCCGGACCACATTCGTGCCACGTAGACCACCGCCGTACAACCCAATAAGAACAACGTAGTTCATCCTTATTAAATCGTACAAGGCGTCCGATAGATTCTATTGCCAAACCGATTAGTAAACTCATACAATCAACATCAATATATTACTCAAACAAATGCGGAAGTAAAATATGTTTAGTAATTAGCCACACGTGGCAAACATGAGCACGCAGGCCCTTCAATAGTTTAATAGAAAACATTGTTCAAATATCCATGAGCATTTTCACAAGTCAAATAAGAATGGAAGCACGAACCAAGTCTTCCTTATTCGAAGTCCACCCTATGCAAAGGTGCAGGTAGCAGGACTCTAGCCTTAACCTGAAAAATAGTGAGGGCCCCCCGGAGGGGTCAGTACTTCACAGAAAGAAATACTAGTGACAAGCAGGCTATATGAGGAATAACTAATGTTTCAGACACGAGACCCAAAAATAGGATGATACATAAATATATAGGTGTAACCATTGTTACCCCATTCCCAAGATAATACATACTGTATATACCTGTAAAATACTTGACCCGTAGGTCGTTTCCCAACAAAAAGTCTTTTACAGATAAGGTACTTACCCAACCTTTCCCCTTTCATCCTGAATGCCTAGCCCACAAGCTACATTCTACTTTCATAATATCCTACCGAGTTTCGGGAGTGTTTACCGTCCCGGGGATGCTCAACCCCAACCGAGTTTTAGGATCATTTACCGTCCCGAGGATACTCAACCTCAACCGAGTTTTAGGATTGTTTACCGTCCTGAGGATACTCAACCTCACCGAGTTTTAGGATTGTTTACCATCCTGAGGATACTCAACCTCACCGAGTTTTAGGATTGTTTACCGTCCTGAGGATACTCAACCTCACCGAGTTTTGGGATCGTTTACCGTCCCGAGGATACTCAACCTCAACCTTATTCCTTACCAACCCTAACTTGGATATGGCTAACCTTTCATTCACTTAACTATGGACAATACCTAGTCCTATAGTCATGTAACAATCCTTAGTAACCAATGTGGACGGGTCCCACCTGATCGGTCCACGTTAACCTACTAAAAAACTATCCGTTTTGAGTATAACCCAGTACTCGATCGAGTACCCACCAATACTCGGTCGAGTACAGGAGACAGCAGCCCGTAAGGCTAATTTTCAAGGCATACTCGATCGAGTACCTATCCATACTCGATCGGGTATAGGAGACAGCAGCCCTTGGGGCAGATTTTCAGCAGACACCCGGTCGGGTATGTGCCAATACCCGGTCGGGTATTGTAGTTGACTTGGCGGTCAACGCCTGTTTGACCGCCCAAACGTAGTCCGATTAACGTGAAATTTTACATGCATATTCTACTTGAAGTCCTTGATCCAAAAATGCTTGTTTTGGTCCTTGGAACATTATACATATCAATTTATAATCATTTCACTAGTCAAGCCTACATTTCATGCTTTCCAACCTTGTTATAGTTCTTAGCATAACATAACACGTGCTTTAATACCATTAATCAATTCATAAAACATATTCTTGATTAATTTAGGTAATCTCATGCCTAACGCAAGAGTTATAAAGCATATAGCCGTCTTCTCACCTTAATGAAGCTTATGAAGTTCTAGCCTCCCCGATTTGGCCCCGATGAAACTCCGGCGAACTTCAACCAACTCCGGCGACAATTCCGGCAACCCTTTCAACTCCGTGAAAGTTCTTGAAATACCTTATACAAGTTAATAACAAGGTTTTATCATCATAAAACCCATATCAATACAAATAACCTCTAAAAGGTTATTTTCCGGCAAATCCGTCAACTTTGCTCTCAAAGCTCGTTTTGAGTTTAGACCAACTTCCCAACTCCTATTCTACACCTTTACATGTGTAGAAATACCCTAGGAGTATGAAACATGATTAAGGAGAAGGAATGGGGTTAATGGAGTCATTACCTTGATAACCACAAGTTTTCCCCACCTAGACTCCTCTTTTCTCTTCTCTTTTCCTTCCCTTCTTCCTCCCCTTGCTTTGTGCGTGAATGGTGGATGAAAATGGAGTTTTTCCAGACCTTCTCTCCTCAATGAAGCCGGCTTGGACGAGGTACAAGAGCTGGGGTGATTGTGAATGCCCTTTTTGGCTTATTTTCCAATAATATGGGGGAGGGGGACCCCTTTTCCTTTCAACTTGGTATCAAGTCACAACCTCCCTCTTTCCACATGACCTTGTGCGGCCCCCCTTGATATTTTGCAGACCAAGGACGTGGGGTGGCCCCCACATATGTGGGAGGTCATCCCTTTGTGACCTGAGATGTATAATCGGCCCCGAAAGTTGTATTTTCTGGACTGTTTCAACTATATTTCATTTTTATTGGGTAGAATGAAATATCTATCATTCTTCCAATTATTATTGGCTATAAGAATGAATGTAATTTCCCCAACTTTTAATTTGATGGTCTCCATAATTTATTATGGCTTTTTATCTGATATTACCTTGGTACCGATAAATGGGCTTTATATGCCCAAACGGTTACTCACATCATTCCTACGGCCCAACCAGGATATCCACCATCATACACATATTATCTTGACCCAAGCGAATATAATATGTGGTCCCGATAATATCGAGCGGCCCCCACTTCCGGTGTGGGCCCCACATGAATTTTACTATTCACGCAAAAGACATGATAAAAATTTACAATCACGTAAAGTGTGTTTATTCATTTCTCAGGGTTCAATACATAATTTGATGAAGTACAAATACTTGGGGGCGGTGTTACATGTACTCTACGCCGCGAGAGCGGTAAGAAGTTAGTAATGATTAGCTAGGCTCAATTGAATTAATTTCATGTAATTAGGCCTGATCTGCCAGAAATATGGTTACCCCGGAATCAATCCTTTTTCCCTTCGTCATTAATTAGAGATAACCCATTTATTTTAATCGTTTAGTTGCATTTTAATTTTTCATACCAATCATATCTCGCACGACGCATTTATTTTATTTATTTTTAATCACTGAATTTAATTAATTCTTGATTTCCTTTTGTCCGTCCCTGTGGAGACGATACTCGTACTTACACCACTATATTACAATCTTTTTAAGTGCGAGAAAACACACATTATCCGTCATTGGATCACTTAAGCCTACTATAGGATCATTGAGTCATATTGCTTTCTTGGAGGTGATTGACTATGAGACAGTGAGTCTGCTTCGAGGGGAGACGGTCGGAAGGGGACTTTTTGTCTTTTTGTAACTTGCCTGAGTTCTGATTATTCAATATAAGCCACCTTCTTCCAAAAAAATTACTCCCTCCGTACCGCTAAGATTGTCTCATTTTACCTTTTCGGGAAGTCCCACTAAGATTGTTCCATACCATATTTGGTAAAGATTGTGTGGCTCTAAATCATTCTAACTATATTCTTACTTTATTAATTTAATTAATATCAACCACACAAACCTACTTTTCTTAATAATCGTGCCACCTTCTCTCGTCCGAATCTTAGTGGGACGGAGGTAGTATTTGATTGTTAAGTTGTCATTAAAAAGTGTTAATTATATATAGAGTATTTCCTAAAATAGGAATATGAACCTTTAGATAGAACGTTCAAAAAAATCAAATAAGAATCCTTACCTAGGACGGAGAGAGCATAAGAGTTAATATAAGTATATAAATGTATTAACATTCATATTTTGCTAATATTTTTTCTTCTGTGCAGGGTGACAAGGATCATGTGCTTTTCTGTGTTGACGGGAAAGTAGATGAGTACCATAACGCTAGTCTGCTGGGGCCCATTAAAAGTGAGGAGGTTCGTGCGACAATTTTTTCCATGTATCCAGATAAGTCGCCACGTCCAGATGGGATGAGTCCAGGCTTTTCTCAACATTTTTGGGAGGTCGTTGGGCCGGACGTGGTGAGCTTTTGCCGTGTTGCTTTCGAGACATGGCATCTTCCGGAAGGTATTAATCACACCCATATTGTTCTTATTCCTAAAAAAGAGAGTCCGGAAGTGATGGGGATTGGCGTCCTATTTCTCTGCGCAATGTGGTGTACAAAATTTATTCGCAAGTCCTAATTAATCACCTGAAACGTCTCTTGAATTTATGCATATCTGAAAATCAAATTGCTTTCATTCCTGGGTGTTCTATTGTTGATAATATTATGATTGCCTTTGAATCCCAACATTTTTAAAAAAGGAAGAGACAAGGTAAGAAGGGGTTTGTCGCCTTGAAATTAGACATGAGTAAAGCATATGATAGGGTGGAATGGCCTTTTTTAGAAGGCGTGATGTGTCAATTGGGCTTTGCGGATAGGTGGATTAAAATTGTGATGGAATGTGTTATGACGGTGACTTATTCTATTCCTTTTGATGATGTTGATCTGGGACCTATTATACCGTTGAAGGGTTTAAGACAGGGCGATCCTTTATCGCCCTGTCTTTTTATTATGGTGGCAGAGGGTTTAAGTGCACTTATTAAGAGGCAGGAGATGGTTGAGAGAATTAAGAGGGTTCGAGTGGCTAGGGGGGCTTCTCGGGTATCCCACCTACTTTTTGCGGACGATTGCTTACTATTTTTTAAGGCTTCCCATGATCAGGCCATTGTGGTCAAAGAGGTTATGAGTGACTATGAAGGGGCATCGGGGCAGGAGGTGAATTATAATAAATCTATAATATTTTTTAGTGCCTATGTTCAGGAGGGCTATAGAGTGGGTCTAGTGGATATGTTTGGGGTGGGCTAGGCAGAGGAGGATGATAAATATTTGGGCTTACCAGCGCTGATCGGGCGGAGTAAGAAAAAAAGTATTTTGAGTTATATTAAGCATCGTGTAGTTAAAAGGGTGCAGAGTTGGAACAACCGTTTTTTATTTAGAGCTGGCCAGAAGGTTCTGCTAAAAACAGTAATTAAAAACATGCCTAATTATTCCATGAATGTTTTCCTGCTACCAATAGAGTTGTGTAGAGAGATTGAAGTTTTAATGAATAGCTATTGGTGGACTGGAGGGTCGGGTCGGGGCATTAAATGGAAAACATGGGGGGCATTGTGTCGGCCAAGAGAGATAGGAGTTTTGGGGTTCAGACGCCTCCGCGAGTTTAATTTGGCTATGCTAGGCAAACAATCTTGAAGGTTACTAAGTGAGCCCGAATCTTTGGTTGGGAGGGTTGATTTCTAACATCCCGCTTAGCCGGAGGGATGTCCCGGATCGAATTATTTGGAGGTGGGATCTGCGTGGGGAGTACTCTTTAAAAAGTGGCTATAGGCGGCTGGTGGGAGAGATGGGAGATGACTTGTGGAGGGGATGGACTGCTATGTGGCGTTTTGAGCTACCTCTAAAGGTTAAATGTTTCTTTTGGCAGGCGTGTAGCGGGTGTCTTCCTACGGCGGTTGCCTTGAGGCAGAGGAGGGTGGAGTGTTCAGGGGTTTGTAGCGGGTGTGGAGCGGATAATGAGTCGGAGTTTCACCTATTTGTTCATTGTGATGTGGCAGTTAACCTTTGGTAGAAATTGGGATGGAACAATGTGGGACCCAATGTCTTGACTTTTTTGGGTTGGGTGTAGGTTTTTTTTCCAGCTCAAGGGTACGAAGGAGTGTTGCAAAATGATTATAGCTTCCTGGGGTCTTTGGCGTGCTCGTAACGATCGTGTGTGGAATTCAATTCACCTGAATTCCGACCGCATCTGGGAGCAGACTATGGCGTTTTGGGAGGGATGGAAGCAGGCAAGGGGTCGAGGCGGCAGGAAGCAGAGGGTTGGATCGAACAACAATGGAGGGATTGGTCCTGGTGTGTGGCAGGTACCGGGGGTAAATATTTTAAAGCTAAATGTGGATGTTTCAACCGGGGGTGCAAACCGGGGCTTCAGGTGGGTTGTTCGTGATCATACATGGAGCTTCGTGGCAGGAGTGGCTAAACCATGGTACGGAAAGTTTTCTACTCGAGAAGGGGAGTTACTTAGCATCAGGGAAGCTTTATCTTGGATACACTCAGAAGGCTGGGACAATGTGGAGGTGGAATCAGATGCGCTTCAAGCTGTGTCAGAGATTTTGCATGGGAGTAGCTCCACTTCTTTTGGTTTGATTGTTGGCGATATTAGAGAATCGTTAGCTAATTTTAATAGCATAAGTTTTTCTCATGTTAGGCGATCTGCAAATCGCGTTGCTCATGTAATAGCTATAGTAGCGGGTATGTCTAATTGTCGAGTTTGGTTCGGTATTCCTCCTTCTTGTGTTGTTACTGCTTTAACTCATGATTTTATTAATATTAGTTGATTGGGTTGCTTTCGAAAAAAACATTCATATATGTTTTCAACAGTGAAAAATCATAACGGAAAAGTACAATTGTTATAAACGATGAAGATAAAAATATAGAATATTGGTGGTGGAGTTAAATTTCAACTGCAAGAGTTAATATATGAGAATAAATTATTTTGGCAGCGTGAGGCAGTATTATTATTTCAGTGGTGGATCCCGTTTAGGGCAAGTACATGAAATATTTATAGACACCAAGCTACAATAGACTAAGGAGAAATAACTGGTACATTTAATAGGTTTAATCATGAGATGCTTCTTCTAATGTATCTCATAACTCTGCATTTATTATTCCTTTATGTTCATGTCTTCTATTAAATCTAGATGACCCGCCCTATTAGCCCTAGGGAGAGTTCGACCTCGCTAGAATCCCGCACAGGCTCGAGATCTGCTGATCATGTCAGGCTGGATGTGAGATCCCTTGCGGTTTGCGATCTCTGGTAGGCCCAGTTGGCGTTAATAATTCATTAATCCCGATTAATGAGCTTGATTTATTAATTCCGCGTGATGGGCTTCGCTCATGTTTCGCACTTGGGCTATGGTCATGGTCTATAGTATCATCAATTGGAATTATGAATTTGATGATAATTACAAATACACTACGGAGTATAATTTAACAATCCAAAATTTTTATAAATTGTATTTGAACTTTAATTAGAAGTGAGCTAAATAGCAGAGACTACATAATCATGACCTCAACAGAAATGATAGACTGTTTCAAAATGGGAAAAAATGAAAGTGGGTATATTATTTTCAACAATGTTTGATGTACCCAGTCTTATACCCACATTATACCCACCATGTTTGTGGAAGTTTTTTTGTCTGTGAACCTGGTTCATGGACAATATTTTGTTTGTGCAAAATGTTGTCTGTGAGTCGGGGTTCACAGACAAAAAAAAAACACTTCACAAACATAGGTGGATACAAAAGTGGGTATAAGAATGGGTACAAAGATCATTTTTGTATTATTTTAGAGACATGACGAGTGCTAATCTATAAAGACATTTCGGTTGCTCTATGTCAAACTTTTATATTTTCACTTTAAGACTATTTTTATTTTTATTAATTTGGACCTTGCTATATACTCCATCCAAAGTCATCCCCCTGGGCGACTCCGTCAAAATCCATTTTCGTATTCTTGGTTTTTACTTGCTCAACCATTAACATAAGTTTCTTGTTATAATGAGGTGCAACCTCACATTGTCAACTTATCAGTCTTGTTAATCAGCATTTTATTAAATACATAATTTTTTATTTCGTATGTTGAATTATGTCATATGGAGTAATTAAAATGAGTAGGGTTAAAGTTACTTTTTTGGCTGAATTGGTTGAAGTTATTGTAGAAAACTATTTTAGCTATTTCATGTTTATTTTATTAATAAAATATACTCCATATTTTAAATATAATTTTTTATGCCTCAAAATATTCAGCCAATTCACTCATTTCCGCTGGAATTTCACTAATTTCAACCGATTTAGTCAATTTCAATGTTATCAAAGGAACTAATCGTATTAGTTCTCAAAGACCATCATATGCGGTGCCCACATTTATTTTTGTGTTCTCAAAGACCATCAATTTTATTTTTTAGGATATCTCAAACAGTCCTGTTATATCCTGATATATACTGGTTTAAAAGGGATACCAACAAGACAATGTCTTGTCCCGTTCCGTACTGAACTGTTATTCTGAATTAGGTTCACTATCGGGATCACTCCATTCTCATTCCTTCCCAAATCGTGCACATCCCTAACTGTGGACATCCCTAACTATAATAATGCTTAAAATAGTGGCAGTAAACTTCACGAGCATAGAAAACTAAGAGAAATGACAAACTTAGGAAACCATATAGGAATATGATAGCTTATAGAGTTATAGGAAACACAACACATATGTAGGGCCGGTAGGCATGGACCCGGTCCGACGTTCCGAACGGTTTTTCGGGTTTCAGGCCTAAGACCAGACATGTCATCCCAAGAGGGTTATCCAGTCCCATTTTACATTTTCGGGGACCGAACTGGGCGGTCCAATTTCAATCCCGCCGGGCGATTTTTTTTGTTTCAACCTTGAATCGAGGCAAAAAATCAACCGAAGCGGGATCGGACCAACTGGATACCCGAACCCGGGCTTCAACAAAATTTGGCAAGGACCGGGTGGTTTTGGCCCGGAACCGAGACCAGACCAACCCGTGTAGTATTAGTATATACGTAGTGCTATATACAGATAAGACGGGCTTAGAGGGGGTAAGCTTGTCAAGGGCAGGGAAGTGGCAAGAGAGGTCCGATTGGTGCTGCATTGTTCTTGTTGGTTTTGTTGTGTTTTTTTTGTAAAACGATGATTATGGATTTGGATGTGGGTGATGATATAACTGTGATTACCGTCACTGGCTCAATTGTGCCCATTATTGGATCATCGAGTTATATTACCGAGGTGATTAACTCCGACTCTGGTTCACGGGATGGTTCTCTCAAGTTTTATTGTCTTTTACCTACTCTCTGAATAGTTTGATATTAATGTAAGCCGCTTTCATCCAAAAAAAATATATTAACTAAAATGCGTGAAAATTGGATGGAATTGTAAGTAACTTCACTCAAAAGATAACCATTGGAATATTGATCAATTAATTATGAAGTTATGATGACACAAAAGATGAATGATAAGACCAAATACTCATTTTATTGCACTTTTTAATTTAGATTTTGAAAAACTTTTACTTTAAATCTCATGATATGAGACCATATCCTTTTGGTGCCTTAACTTTTTTTTTTTATTTTTAGTTTCGATGCAGACAATACATTTTATGTTTTTTGTCATCATACACCATGAACGGTCTGTTCCCCATATTGATTCTTATCGTTGCTAACAAACCTACCAAGAAAATTACCCACCTTTCTAGGAGTTCCTAAATTCAATAGACAGTAGGGAATATTATGAACCCGCACCCAGAATTATGTCTCATTCAAACAAATCTTATGCGGAATATCAGTAGGTTTTATTTCTTTCACAATCAGTAAATTCCTCTCAAACTGCCAAGGACCCCCATAAATCACACGCTTTTTATCAATAGGATGATTAAAATTAAAAATATACCTTTTCTCCTCGATCTCCTTGATCTACACGCCTCTTCCCGTCCTCCATAGTGTCACCATCATCTCTCTGAATGCTGAAAAATTAATCTTCTTGTCCGTAATTAACACGCCCACCACAGGGAAGACCGGCCGATCCTCCTCTCTCAAATCTTCCTCGGCTTCAAGTCCATCTCAATCCAGCTCCACTTCCTTGTCTTCAACACTCATCTTACGATATAGGTCAGCAATTGTAACTTCGAAGTCTACCTTACATGAATATTTTTCTATATACTACTTTTGTCCCACTAAAATTGGAACATGATGAGGTAATACATATTATTAAGAAAAGAGGATTTATGTGATTCATATTGAATTGATAAAGTAAGAATAAGATAAACTAATTTGGAACCACATAAGCTTTATCAAATTTGAAATGGAAATCTTTAGTAGAGTTTTCCAAAAAGAGAAAATGAGACAATCTTAGGGAGACTAGGAAAACTACGAAAACTCATTAAAATAATATCAAAGAGCTTTTTCCCGGAATAATGCTAAATAAATAAATAATTCCCAAATACTACTGAGTTAAAAATAATTCTCAAAATACTGGTGGATTAACTGTGGTTAAAGAAAGTCGTCACTTGAAGTGGCGGCTTTCTAAAAAATACGCAGCTCCCACAAGTAATCGAGAATCGAGATGTAATGCCAAAGCCAAGTACCCAACCATATAGGGTAGGTCCCACCAAAATTAAATATCTCCTGTTTTCTTTGAAGCGCTATAATTTTTTTATTTGTGCTCTGATTGTTACAAAAAATATACTAAATTTCATAACTTTTTATTATCTTTCATATGACACCAATATTGAATTTATAAAATAACAAAATAATTTAACACTTTAGAAATTACTGTGTATCTGATTTTAAAGTGTTGTATATTTTTTTTATTTGTATCCCGAATATTACAAAAATACATCAATTTTTTATCTTTTGAAGTATTTTTTGTAATATTCAGAATACAAATAAATATATATAGCACTTTAAAAATAGATACGCAGTAATTTTTAAAGTGTTAATTTTTTTTTTATATATTCTGTATTGGTGTCATATGAATTATGAAATATAATAAAAAGTTATGAATTTCGGTATATGTTTTGTAACAAGCAGAGTACAAATAAAAATGTTATAGCACTTCAAAGAAAACAGGAGATATTTAGTTCGCTAAAGGATCAAATAGGCCCTTGAACTGACTTAAAGTGTTCAATTACCCCCTTATATAGGAAGTTATGCCCAGCCGTCGCCAATTGGGGCGGTTCCCGGTGGAATATTTTGATGAATTTTTTTGAGCATCTTCTTCATTAAGTCTAGCTTACCCATACCAAATTTCAGCTAAAAATTCAACCAGGAAGGCAGTCAAATGATTTTCCGAAATGTATTGCGTTGTTTAACTTTGCAGTTACCTTAAAAAAAATCATTTGAGTGTCTTTCCGGTTGAATTTTTAGCTGACATTTGGTATGGGTAAACTAGACTTAATGAAGAAGATGCTCAAAAAAATTCATCAAAACATTCCACCGGGAACCGCCCCAATTGGCGACATCCGGGCAGAACCTCCTATATAAGGGGCTAATTGAACACTTTAAGTCAGTTTAAGGTCCTATTTGAGGAATGGGGGAAGGCCTGGAACCGGCCCGGGTTGCCACCGGGTACGGGCCGGGCCGGGCCCTGACCCCCCCCCCCTCACCCCCACCCCCCACCCAAAACACCCCAAAATGCCCAGCCCCAACCCAGAATAAACAAAATAAAATTGGGAAAAAAAACTCGAAACCGGGCTCGGGCCGGCTGGGCCGGTTCGTCTTTTGGGTGACCCGAGCGCGCACCGTAAGACCCCGGGCCGGGCCTACCCGGACCAGCCCCTG